ATTTGCACCAATAAACATTAAGTATCAAATTGGACAAACAATACAGTACAACCCACTGAATCCCCATGCGGGTCCTAAAAAATGCCATCAGATCCCTTTCTCGAGCATAGCACGAACTCTCATTGGCAGCCCGTAAAGGCGGATAAAACAAGCCGCATCAGTCTGATTGTAAATCTCCCCAGTCTCAAATGACGAAATATCCTCCCTATAAAGACTATACGGGCTTTCTCAGCCCGCAACACTAACCGACCCCTTATAAAGTTTAAGGGTCACTGACCCAGTCGTGGTCTTTGTGATATCCTTCATGAAAGCATCACACCAACTGACCGAGCTCCCGAATCCTCGGCTTCCTCGGCAATCTAATCCTCGTTTCGAAACAAGCTCGTCGTTCATCACAGCCCGCTCGCCGTTCTCGAGTCTCATCTCCGCCTCGCAGGCCTCGTCATCCTCCGACCAGCCGAACTGGAATTGGTTTGGAAGCCTCCTCAAGATCTTGCACCTTGGCCACATAATTGAGCTCTACGAACAAGCAATTGAGTTGGGATTAGATCTTTGAAGAATTTGGGGATCTTGATTTGGGACTAAATTTCTCAATTGGGGATCTGAGAGAGTCCCGATGTTTTTTTTTTTCTTTTCTTTTCTTCTTACATTTTGTAGTTTTCATAGAGAAAGAGATGATCGACGACGGAATTTTCAGAGAGGAGAGACGATTAGAGAGAAAAAGAGAGACGGCGATGAAGAGATAGAGAGCAGAAACGAAGAGAGAGAGAGAGAGCATAATGAAGAGAGAGTTTTTTATGTTTCAGCCAAAATAAATGGAAAATAATAATATTACTATATATATGGGGAGTGGTTAGGAAAGAGAAGTTAAAATTAGGGAGTGCAAAGGAACAAATTTTATGTGAGGGACTGACAAGGAAGATGACAAGGGGTAGAGGGATTTAACTTGAATTTTCCGTTTTCTTTTCCTAGTATTTTATTTTATAAATAAAATATACCAGGATAAATTAAATAAAATAAACTGAGTATTAATGTTACTTTAGTTTGTTTATTTATAGATAATAAATAATAATAATAATGAAATAAAACGCTTATTCAGCATTCAAAACCCTCATTCTTCGTCGATCTAATTATATAATTCCTCAGTTCAATTGATTGATCGGTGGATAGCTAACTTATAATTATGGCGGACGCTTATTGGAGGTACGGAGACGGCAGGCAGCAGCCGGCGAGCCTTGCTCCTCATGCGGTCAAGCGACCCCGGCCGGATTTCGGTAAATTTTTAATCTTTTTTTCGCAACGATGTTTTTTTGTCCTTTTTATTTCTGCTTTGCTTATGGTGCGACGTTAGTGCCTTTTTTTGGTGTAAAATGGAACTCGGAGATCTGTAAAATTGGTGGTCTTTGTAAGCTAGGGTTCGAAATTAAAAAAAGGGTAAATTTTTAATTATTAATTTTTTGTTGCTAATTTCTTGAATTGGTAGTTTCTTCCCTCAAACTGAAATGCGGTAATGTTTGTTAAATAAGTGGGAAAATGCAATCTATTTGTGATGCTTGTTTTATTTTCCAGTTATAAAGGGAAACAAGTAACATTAGCATTGCAGGATTTTGGGGTTAAGTAATGCAAAGTGATTCTCACCTAGCTGCTCTAGAGTACACTCTTAATGGTTTTATCTGTGTATGTGATGCACATACATATTTCTGAGTATTGCTTTACTGGTTTTCATTGACTGCTTTACAGTAACTTCTGTAGAGATGCCCACTAGCCATGAAATGCCCAACTACTTTGCCCGCCCGGATGATAGATCCGGGTCCCGTGTCGTTAGAGATACTGACTCCATTAATGCTTCATACGATCGCTACCTTCGCAATACAGTAATCACCTGTCTTCCATTTTCAGTTTCTGTGTGCTCATCGGCTTATCTTTTCAAGTGTCCGTTATATGTAATGTGAAGTTTTAAAATTACTTGTTAAATGCACCAGCAACTGTCATCTCATGGTAATGACGTTGGACGACCTGTGAGTACGGGACCTGGAGGACCTCATTACATTGATGATCCTCGTGTAATGGCAATTGGAGGATCGGACCTGGCTGTGGCTGCAAAGAGCAGGCCAATTGGAGTTGGAGGGCGCCCTGAGATTCAACTCCCTCCTGATGCTACAAGCACGCTGTATGTGGAGGGCTTGCCCGGAAATTGTAGTCGCCGGGAAGTGTCTCGTATCCTTTGTGTGTAATGTATGTTGTACTTGGCAGTGCGACTTTTTTTTCTTTTTTTTTCCTTTACTATGGTACGACAGATATATTTCGCCCCTTTGTTGGCTATAAGGAAGTAAGGCTCGTGACAAAGGAATCAAGACATGTAAGAATTTGTTTCAATTTACGCTAGAGATTTTTTATGTTGTTCATAATGTTATTTACATAAATGTTCTTGGCTGGAAAATGGTTCAGTCTGGGGGTGATCCTTTGGTGCTGTGCTTTGTTGATTTTCTGAGTCCAGCTCATGCAGCCACAGCAATGGACGCCTTACAAGGTAATATTGATTCATGATTTGGTCTTATTGCTAATAGAGGTGTTTATGATATGCTTTTGGCATTTGCTTTACCTCTACACTTCCTACTAGTTGGGAATTAGTTCGAGTGGTCCTTGGATTTTGTTTCTTTCACACCGTGGATGATAGAATTAGGATTTTGTATACATTCTATCGAAACACAGGAGGAGGATCAAGTGGTTTCAAGTTTACTTTGAATACTTTGGTATATTAAACTATTCTCCTGTGCATTCACGTTTGTTAAGACGTGCTGGTATGTTGTGTTGAAGTCCAACTTGGCTGCAGAAAACCAGTTGTTGCATTACTGCACCCTCCATCTTTCCATGTCTCACCCACATAGATAGAATAGTTTTAGGTGTTTGTTACATGGGAAACAGAGCATCTTTTAAAATGAAAAGTACATATTTCCCTTCCATGTTACTTGCCTTAAGAACTGGTGATACAGATGTAAGGATTGCCTGATTGATCCATCTACGCGACCTGGTTTCTTGCACAAATGTGAAGAGTTTGTGAGTGTTTCTTTGCGATGTTTTTAGGACAAAACCAGTAGTTGCATCGCTGCTCCCTCTATCTCTCCAATTTTCAACCACTTAAAAAGGAATAGATCTGGGTGTTTGCTCCACAGGAAACAGAGCACCTTCTAAAAAGAAATAATACACATTTCGCTTCCATATTACTCTCTCATCTTGAGAACTAGTGATACTGATGTAAAGATTCCCCGACTGTTTTCAGCACTGTGACCTGGTTTCTTGCACAATCACGAACAGTTTGTGAGGTTTTTTTATGTGATTTTTTTAGGGTGAGTTTGGTCATAGGAAAAAAAGATTATAGAGCTTAAATTTCATAGCATTATTGGGTATTGCGGCATTAGTTTTAAACTAATTGTATTAAACTCTATTTAAGTCCATTTTAATTGCACTTATTCTTTAAACAAGTACAAAAATATTGATTATGGATAACATGGATTAATCGTCAATCAAATGAAGTTGGTGTCTCTCCGCATCGAGGTTACTTTAATGGACTTATTGAGGTCAAATTCCTTGTATCTTAATATGAGTTCTCACTAAATGTCGAGGAGAAAATATGAGGTCATGTTGTCAAAGAATCTTGAACGTACTGGGTTCTGCTCGTTAATAATAATTGTTCAATTGCTCAAATGATCGTGATCAAGGATTAAAATGTAACAAGCCGTAATGGAAATCCAAAACATCGTGTGGTTTCAATAGACCTGGTTTTGTCACTGTATACGAAGTGACAATAGCGGGCGCCGTGAAAAGAGTTTAGCTAAATTTTGCAGGTTATAAATTTGACGAGCATGACCGCGACTCAGCCATACTAAGGCTCCAATTCGCACGCTATCCTGGTGCAAGGTCAGGGAGCGGGAATCGGGGGAAACGTTGAGATTGCTGGTTTTTTTGACAGGTGAAAAATGCTATCTATACGCGTTTGACCTGTTTACCATTAAAAGCCGTTTAGGTTTTCCCTGCGAACGTACAATGATCACGTAATTCGCGCTGAACAATTAAACAACTATTTTGTGTAGGACCCTCTGAGTGGTGAGATTTGCAAGTTATATTTGTGTCTCGAGCTTGGAGTTTTCGTGAATCTTCAGATGCTTTGCTTAGGAACCAGTGGGTTTACGTCAAATGTCAATCGATGTGTGCATGTTTGAATTTGAGACATTTTCTTGTTGACCTCACTTTGTTTAGTTTCCTGTCTTGGATATTTACTAGACTACAATTGTTGTCACCTTATTGGAAACTACTGTGTAATATCTGCATTGGAGGTTATATCCGCGACATGGCCAGTACTCAGTGTAGAATTACCATTTTATTTGCACTTTTTGAATGATGATTGTTTTTCACTCTCCTTGTTGCACAGTCGGCAGATCTGTAAAAGTGTCTGTCTTTTGACTGATAGTTTGGATATGTTTGCCGGATTATGATTTTTACTTTGTTAGATAAAATTTTATGCATTTCAACTTTTGTGTCATGTTAGCTGGTGTCAAGGAACTGAAATTTACAGACTTCTTATCTAGTTGACATCATAGAACACTAATATTAGATACCAAAATTTGTAACATTTTAGTGGTGTCATGCTATTTATGCATCATATCTTCTCCTTTTGTGCTCTCTATACCTTCTTTCTTTTGTACTTTTACACCTTGGCCAATACATCAATTTTGAAACAAATTTCTTCCTACCAATTTCCCATATCTGCTATCGCTAAAAACTGTCAACTTAGTTGTCTTTGTGACTTGTTCTTCTTAGCAGTAAAGTAGTGCCTACATATAACATTCTTCAATGTTATAGGGTTCGTAGTTTAGGTTCTCATAGAAAGAACGTTCTAAAATTGGCCTAACATGCTGCTCAAGCTCAGATAATTGTGATGAATGCACTATTTTGTAGACGCCTAAATTGTCCAAAATATTTATCATACATGCTGGCATTTTAGTCTGACAATATTTTAGAACTACTAAATGAAAAATCTAACATAGTCTATGGACGTTCACATAATATTTGCAATTTAGTGTTGGTAACTATGTAAGTATCACATATAACGTGATACCATTAAAGCTCAAATGTCCACACAGTTAAAAACAATCTAATGAGTTGATTGCCTTCTACTAGTCTATCATTCAATAACAAACAAAATATCAAATAAAGATCCATAAAGTGAGTTAGAGACACCTACGCATGGCTCATATTTGTTGCTTGACCTTCTATATCTAGCTAATGCTTGGTCTCTTTTCCTTCATTTTTTATTTATTTATTTTTTTTTTTGTTTGAAAAAAGAATAATACCCTCGCCCTACTAGCCAGGCATCACACACCTCATCTTATTTATCTACATTAGGGCACGGATTAGTATACTATGGACTTTGGGGCCTAAAGTACTAAGTACTTGTATTCTCGGAATATATGTAAAATACTACGAACCTGTTCAACATCGAGAACCTTGTTTCCTTGGGTTGCAATGGGTAATGGAAATGTTTTGAAAACCTCAAGTCCTGGCTTTTCTTGCTGAACCTTGCTATATCGGCACCACTTTATTTAGGTCCTCACAACTTTATTTATAACAACAACTTATGAAGCTCCAATCCCTGATGTAACTGTGAAGATTCATTAGTTTATCATATATAGCAATACAATAAACCTTGATTATGACGCTTGCCTTTGGCGCGAATTATTGTTGCCACGTTATAATGCCATACATTCGGGTGAAATAGATAGTGTTTCCTGTCCAGTTGAATCTCTCTAGTTTATCATCTGTAATTTGGTATTCCATATTCCGTCCATAGTCTAAACAGTCATTCGATTGAGGGCGATGTACATTTTTTGTACCCATGGCTTGTCCATTTTAGTTCTGGATACGTGAAAAGTGAAGAGCCGAGTCCGATTAAGATTCTCATATGCCAAGGGTAACCCGATGGATCTTGATGTTACAATAAATCTGTTAGTAATGGTTGGTTTACAATTTGTGGCACAGCATTAAGAAGGTAGCAATTGGGGGCTGCACCTATCTTTTTCCATTAATCTATCACCTGGAAGATTAGAATCATAAATGATATGGCACCACATAGCTGTTCCATTTATAACCGCTCTCGGTAAGGTGTTATCAGGTCAATTCATGATTCATTTACTCTCTCATCGTGGTTGGTGTTTCTTTGGATCAATGTTAATGGCTGATTATTATTATTATTAGCCTTGTGATGTAACATAGCTTATGTATCTGCTGTTTGTTTGTTGCAAACAGTTGGTTCCATATGTTCTGACTTATTTTTGCTGTTCTGCTGTGGAAAGTTAAACTTCCGTAGTTTAAGGAAAGCTGGTATTTTGTGATAGTTTTTAATTGCAGACTTTCTACCTAACCACCAGTCTGATAAAACCCCCCATCTTATGTTTGCTTGTTGTGTGTATTTACGAGGTCTGTAGTTCTATGTGCGTTAGGAGCAGGACTTTTGACCCGGTTTACTTGTTTTGGGACGATATTTTCTGGTCTGAATGGAGTAGAAAGATGATATTGGAATTATCTCAATGGTCTTTTAAGTCTTATTATTTCTTTGTTACCATGCTTATAATTTGCTTCTATGGCTTTACGAACTGTTCGGCCCTAACTCGTGTCATTCTGTACCAGTCATGACATTTGAAGTTGAAGCTTCTGCAGTTCTATGATCTAACTGCAACTTTTGGTACAAATAAACTGAAAACAAGTTGTAATTGTTTTGTTTCATAGTGGATTGACTTGACTATCTATTGGTCTTAATTGTTCACTTTATTCCCGTATTCTTTTTTTTTTTT